AGGAATGTGAGATCAACAGAAGTGGACACATTCTCTGGTATGAACAAGACTGAAAGGTCAGGGAGGTTGGACGGCTGCTTTTTCTCTTCTCTGGGTACCAGGTCATCCCTACAGTTTGCAGAGCACTTTTTGGTCTTTGGGTGGGTGATTCATCATCTTTCTCCATGTCAACTGCAAGCGGTGAGAGGTTTACTATGTGAATCAAAACAGCATATAGGCAGCATCACCAGTTCAAAAACCATTCATGTGACCCTTCAAAATTAGGAAACTGGAATAAAAAATAATGACACAAGGAATAAACCCCCACAACATTTTGTATTATTTTAACCCTCCTTCAATCTTCTGGGGTCTTTAAAGGTCATGCATGCAAGTCCTCAACCATATGGTCTAGGACTACTTTTCTTTCAAATAAAAGGTGAGGTGAGTACGAATAATTGCCTGCATTACTGTGGCATCAAGGCTGGCATCCCCTTGTGCTAAGCATAGGACAAACAGAACGGAAAGATGTTTCCTGCCCCAAAGCAATTCTCCTGTAATCGTGTTACAGACGTTGGCTGTAGCATAACCAAGCACTGTAAGACCCGTGAGAAAGTCTTCCATCTCAAATCCTACTCAAGTGCTTCAGAAAACCATTAGCAGAACCTGACCCTGGTTGTTTCTTTTCCTGGTAATTCTTTTCCTCCTGAATTACCCCTATAAAATTCCTCAATAGGTTGATAAGTTCCATAAGCAGTAAGGTGACCTGAGACTCAGAGGGGTAAATCTCATCTTCTCACTCTCCCTTGATCTCTGTCTCCTGTTCTCTGAGCTTTCAGTCTGCACTCTGCTTTTCTTCCCTCCCAAAGAAACCTAAAAATAAATAAACCCAAAAAAGAGCGGAAAAAGGAAAAGCCACCAGCCCCCAAAACAACGTGCTTAGTCATTCATGATGAATAAAAATAGTTTCCCAAATGAACAAATTGCTGAGCCAACCAGATGAACAAGTCAACTTCATAAACAAGGTTCTCGTGTTAGTGGGCTTTTGGTAAAGCCCTGAGCAGAGTTGCTTGGAGAAGGATCAGGCTCATGAAGACAGCCCTGAGGGTCAGGCCAAGCATCCTGCTACTCAAGGGTATTTGTAATGAAAAATTTTATCTTCTTTGCATCAGTGGAGACATTTAATAAAGAGTGAGTTATCAAATTGTCATGTGCACCAAGTTCTGCAGAGATGGTGCAGTAAATGGGGGTGGGGCTGGTGTAAACCTGAGGATTTGCTGGTCAAGATACTGTGGGGCTGCATGCAGGCTGCTCCTGGGGTGGGGTGTGCTCTGCTCCCTGCTGAAAAAACATGGGTGGGCAATTCTGGCTCTTGGCTTCTCCAGCTCTTGGCCAAGATCAAGCCTGTGATTGCTCCCAGTGAGATGTAATGCTCAGTACCCACAATATGACTGAAGGCTTAGACACAATCCCCCCAGCGCCCAGAAACAGCGCCCTTGTATTCCTGTCAATAAATATTTGGCAGCGGATGACTTGTTCTCCCCTTGGGCTATTGAGGAACGGTGGGCTGCATGATTGGTTTTCAGGACCCAGCTAGCCCTTTTGGGTTAAATCCATCTCTTTAACGCAGGAGAACAGCTGATTTGAGTATTTAGGCATCCTAGGGGAACAGAGGCTCGGGATGTGCTCATGGGGAAATCAGCTAAGCTCTCTGTTGCTTAGATCTGTGCTCAGAAGATGGGATGGGACTTGGCTGCATCATCTTGCTTATGTAGATGATGCTTTTTTCAAAGTAGGGATTAGCTCTTATCTTCCACCTGGCACATGGGGCCTTTATTCTGCATCAGAGTCTCCAGCTCCTATACAGCAGTGCTAGAACTAAAAATGACACAGCCAGGCAAGAAGGGTGGATTTTTCCTGCATTGAGAAAAAAACCCCCATACCATGTTCTTCGTCACTGGGTTCTGGGACTTCCCCAGATTTTACACCTTTTTAGGCCAGACTTAGAAACTGAAGTTCTACTTTGGCTGCTACAGGACCACTTTACATCCTAAGCCAAGCAGGAGCTTGTTCTAACTGGCCCAGAGGACCAGGGGACAGCCTGAGTTCCCTGTTGGTGGACTACCCTTGGCAATGCTCAGCTAGGGAGGTGAGGCCCCAGAAGGCCATAGGCTAGGAAGGATGCTAGAAGTGCCTGCTGCCCTGGTGGCACTGGGTCAGGCAGGTGACACTGTTATGTCACCCTGCAAAGGCTGGGTTATGTTTTAATCCACTGAACAAGACAAATCCAACAGGCTCCCAGCATGTTCCCTTATCAGAGGGAAGGGAAGGAGCCCTTCTGAAACATGCATGAGTCCACTCAAGTGGGAGACCAGATGTCCAGGGACAACAGGTTGGGGAGACACAGTCTCTGGACACTGACAAAGAGACAGGCATCTCAAACTGCTTAATGAAAGACCACTCTCAGAGTTAAGGGGGGAAATACTGTTATTTTATTTTCAATTTTCTATGAAGAGACAGTAATTCTGACAGCAAATTAATTTAAAAAAACCCAGTCACACGATTACAGAGTTTGGTTTAAAAATGCAAATAAAAGAACAAGGGGAGGAGACCCACTCAGGAAACACTGCAGTGAACTGGTCCTCCAGCCTATCCTGTCACTCAGGGCATTGCTCTGGGCCATGCTCTTTCCCCAGGCAGCAGCCTCCTGCCTGCCTGCCGACCGCCACCAGCCCAACCTGGAGTCACCGCAGAGGTACGACACAGATAGCCTAAGGCAGCGCACACCCAGCACAGCCGCAGCCCAATGGCTGGGTCTGGGGCTGTGCTGCACGTCCTGCTTAAATCTGATGCTGCAGACATTCAAAACCCACTGCCAGGTCCACATCAAGCCTCCCCCTCGCATCAGGTCTGATCAGCAGGTACCTGAGAGGCCATCTTGCCACACCGCAGAAATCCTGCGGCTGGGAAACGATGTAGCAGGACTTGGAGAAGCTTTGGGCAGTTAACTGGTGAGAAACTGAGAATCTCTGGAGAGATGCTGAGTATCTGCTGATTTTGGAGTACCTATTGAAGATTGTTTTTTTTTCTTTTGGTAACATGCTACTGTTCTCTGGCCAGTCTGCAACAGATGTCCTTTGGTGTTCAGACACAGGGTTCCAGATGAAGATTATGACCAGGCAGAAAAAAAAACTTTGGGAGCAGCATTTGTCACATCTGGGGATACAGGGGACAATGTCCTAAGTGTGCCCATGTCTGTCCCAGTCTCCATGTCAAATGCCTCCAAGGCAAGGCATAGTTATAATGCCAAACTTATCAGCTGCAGCACACAGGGACAGGGGACCTGCAGGCTCTGTGCTCCCACCACTCACCTCAGGACTTCCTCCCCACCTGTGCCTCTAATGCTCATGGTGAATTCAGTACTGGGGATGATGTATATGCACTTCACCAAGCAAAACCATCTATTCACTCACTGCCCAAAGACCTTCCTTGGAAAATTCCTTGGCCCCACCAGTACTGCTGGCAGGATTATCAGTGAATTTTGGGTAGTCAGGATTTTGCTGTCTGTTTAGCCTTGTCTGGGGTCATGACTTTTGCTGATCTGGTCCTGTTGTCACTCTCAGCTTTGCCCCTCACCTGCTGCTACTCCCTAACTTTAGGACCTGATCCAGCACACTGGGAAATGAAGAGAGCCTTTTATTCCTAGCACAGGGGCTGGGATTCTTGGCAGGCTCTTTTCTGCTTCCCGGTACTGCTTAGAACTCACTTTATCATCCTCCCAGCTTCACCGGTGTTTGCCTACTGATGCCAGCCCAGTGAGGCAAGTGGCTCCATAAGTGCAGGTCTCAGCTCTCTGGGAGAATCCGTGAGCACAGCTAAATCAGCTACAACCTCTCCAAAGCAGGATTGTGCCTCACTCCATCTGCAACACAGGGCGGACATGAACAGAAATCACTAGCACTAGTAAAGCAGAAAGCAGGTACAGAGGGTGTTAAAAGCGAATCCAAGTGCAGCAGCTGCCAGAGCACGCTCCTGCCCAGGAGCCTTGCTGGCTCTGCCAACTGTCTCTTGGGTTTTGTGCAGTTCGGAAATGCTGTGAATCATGTTTCCAAAAGTTCTTACGTGACTGACGAACAGGTACGGATTTTATCAGTATGATTTCAGCTTGTAGGTCACTTAGTTGCTTTAGGAAACATTATTCTCAACTCACTGGTTGTGGATGACGCTAGGAAGAATTGCTTTTTGGGGAACCTGGGAGAAGTTCACCGAACTTCAGAGAACTTGTGTCACATAACTTTGCTCAGCAGAAGGCTGAATTCATGGTCCTGAATTCAAATAACCTCTATTAAAACCTATCTTGACCCCCTTAATAATCACACTGCCCAGAAAGTCCCACTGGCTAGAGATCCCCTACAAATCCTTGCCCCGTTAGGTCAGGCACATGGACACCATGCCTGCCAGCTCCCTCACTAGTGCCATCCATAAACAAAACACACCACAAGAGCTCTTGGGCTCTGAAACTCATCCCTTGGGCACACTACCACGATTCCCCCATTGCTCCAGCCCAGGACATGCTCTCCTAGGACCAAGCCAGCACAAACCCTTGAGAAATGACCTACTGGTCACTGCCTCAACTTGTTGGGGAGGGGTCATAAAGACGGATTCTCCCCCATCGTCCACTCCCCCACTTCATGAGTGAAAAAACAAGAAATAATGTGCTGTACAGCTTTCCCTATCCCTCTCCCCCAGCACAGAAGCTCAAACCCAAGAGCAGCAGCACAGCCTCTCTGCAGGAACAGAGGTACCAGGGGCTGGCTCCAGCCAACTGCCCCTCCCCAAGGAAAGACACCAGTGCTGGGAGAGGTGAGAGGGCCTCACTCAGCTCTGAGAATCATTCTGAAAAAGAACTACTGGAAGACCTAGCAGTAAAGCAAGGGACTACTCCAGTTGGAGTTGTCAGCTAGAGACCTCTCAGCACCACTTACTCAATGGAGTGGAAAAAGTAGCTAGCAGGGCACTAATGACTATTTTCCATGTAATTTAAAATCTAGTTCCATTTCTTTTTTTTTTTCCCATTCCACTCACTGGGTTTCTAATACTGGTAACCTTTCTCTACAGCTCCCGTGTGTGTGTAAGTGTGTGTGTGGCAGAGGCAGTGGGGGTCATGTGTTTAGGCACTTTTGGCAAAGCCAACAGAGTTGTTATCACGGTCAAAGGCAGTGTAGTAGGGACCAATGAAGACATCTCCCAGGATCCAGAGTGGGCCCCCAGGGGGTGGGATGTCCAGGCCTGAAAAGCCACTCAGGCACATGGTCTGTCCTCCTGAAGAAACCTAGATAGAAGAGCAAGAGCTTCAATCTGAGCAGGCCATTCCCTTCCCTCAACCTTGCAGGCTTGGCAAGAACACCTGCAAGGATGGCTTTGCTTCAGCCTCTCCCAGTCTGAGATCCAAGATTGCAAAAGTAACTCCCAACCCGCTGCTCCTATGGCTCCAAACCCAGCTCTCCCTCCCTTAAGCACTAAAGCATCGAGTAAAGCTGCATGTGACCATAAACCTCCCAGCCCACACAGCTCTGAATTAGAGACATTAGTGAAAGTGTCCGCAAGATGGTCCTTGCAAGTTGATTCTGATGGCTTAAACAAGAGGCTGGTGACCTCTGCTATGACAAGACTGGCCTCATGGCACCACAATCAAGCAGGAAAGAGCTAAATGTTTGTATAAGGTGATGCAACAGCTTGCCACCCCTTCCTCTCCCATCCTACTATCCCTCATGAGAGGGATATCTATCCCATGAGAGACTTCGGTGAGGTTGGCTGGGTCCATCATCTGTGCCACCACCCCGACACACCAATCTTTCAGACTTTTTCCCAAGGACCAGAACTGCTTTGGCTGCTCTTGTGTTTTGGATTTCATGGCTGAGGTTTGAGCAGCAGAAGCAAAAGTTAGGCCTTGGGGGAGAAGCATAAGTCTGGCAATAATTGCCTGGACATACCTTGAGGATATACTGCTCTCCTGTGAGATCGTAGGGCTTCCCTCCTAGTGTAATTGTGATGACAGGCAGTGTTGGCACTTTATCACAGGGCACCAGGTACTGAAATGGCAACAGTAAAGACTTTAGATGGGAGCTCCCATGCTCTCTCAGGAAAGGGCACAGTCTTTCTTGGGCACAATCATATCTTTGCTGTGGCTTTCCCCAAACCCAGCTCATCTCAGGGTATAGGAGAAGCTTGAGCTGGGTTAAGTAGCCTGCTCCTTGCCTAGGACTGCAAGCTGAGGGGCCAGAGGACTTTATGGATAGAGATGGAGCCAAAGAATGTTGGATTCAGCTTTTGGCTCTGCTGAGCCCCAGGGTACAACAGCCGATGTGGCACAGCCGGGGGTCTTTACCACAGGAGAGGCAGCTGTGGCTCAATACAGCCTACAGACATACAGAGGGACTCAAGATGTAATGAACAGATAAAGCCAGTTCCATTAACACTGGCAAGTCTTGGAGATGATGGCAGGCCTAAGCCAGCTGTTGCTGCAGCATGGGGTCTCTGACACTGCAGAAATACCTCACAAGTGCTCATGGCTCTGTGATTTGGGAGGGGTTTCAGAGCAGGGCATTTTTTCTAGAGGGTCTTTATAATCCATGTTCTTCCACAATTTCAGGGAGGAGAGATAACCTTGTGAGATTAGCTCTGATGGTTAAAAACTTCGCAGCAAAGGGTTGTCATTTGCAGTAAATATACTTGTATTAAAGCATCTCTGGACTCACATTGATGTGAATCCTTGGCCTTGGCTGCAACTCAGACCCCTTCTCTTCCACCTCCCAGAGATGGGTGGCAGAGGTGACCCAAAGTCTCTGAAAGTTCATGGGACCCGGGCCTTCTACCATGAGCATGAGCAGGGTGGTGAATGGTACCCAGGGTCAAAAGATGAAGGAGTCCCTGCTGTGCCAGAGACTTTTCCAGGAGCACAGGCTGGGAATGGAGATCAAAGGGAGCAGAAGACTTGCATCTCAACAAGCATCTGGGTTCAAAGTAGGGTATAAGAGCAGATGCTATGGTGGTCATAGATACCTACATTGTCAGCCTGGCCTCACCTCGCCTTTGATGAGTGGTTTTGCACCGATGGCTTTCTGTATCTGCTTCACTTCTGTTTTAGGGCCAGTGATGAGTGAGGTTCCCGTGTCCACAATGGCCTCACAGCCTCCATCGCACACAGTTGTCTCGTTGCCAACCTGCACCCTGGGGAGAGATGCCCAGGCAGAAGACAATCCTTAGAGGCCTCCCACTGAAGGCTGCAGGAAGCAGCAGGCAAAGAGTTGATGGCTGAGCCCAGGAAGTACACAGGCACACAAGGGAGACCTGTGACAGACACCCAGGAAGGACAGATGCCCAGAAATACTGATGCAGCACCAACTCAGTGCGCTGACCCCCCGGCTCCCTGTCATTCCCTCACGATTGAGCAGGTGCCTTGAGGTGTTGCTGCATTTCTGCAGAGAGTCTGGACCACTTCCTGCGCACCGTGCCTGCTACCCACACTCCAGAACAAGCACCGCAGCTGATGGACAAGGGAGCGAGCTAAGGGCAATGCATTATGGACTTGTATGGTTTGTGCTACTGCAAAAACCAAAGGGTTAAAGGGGTGGTGTAACAACTGTGGGCAAGGGAAGGGTTCCTGTACAAAGAAGAGGTATGACAGGAGCTGCTTGGCTTCCTCACCCGCATCACATTTCACAGCAGTGCAGACAAACAAAGCCTTCCAGCCAAGGGTCTGCCACACTTTGCCAACGCAGCAGGGCTGGGGGAAAATGAGAACTAAAACCCTGCGCTGGGGAGGGATGCGATTCCCAGCAAAAAGGACACACTCTGATCACAGGCCACTTTTAAGTTCCCGTCACGTGGGAAAGCTCAGAATAGACGCGAGGCTGGCGGACGGCAGCTCAGCCTGCTCTCCTCCCCTCTGCCTCCAACAATGCGCACTGATTGCTGCGCCGTGCCCTTCAGTCAAGGGCTGGCTTCCTGCGGCCTCATCCTGCTCCTCTGGAGCTGTCTGCAAGTGAGCCAGGCAGCTCAGGCCTTGCTAAGAGCTGAGCAAAACTGGGGTTTAACACATGAGGTTCGCCCCGCCTGCAAGGAGGACACACTGGTGTTTTTCCCCCACTTTGCAGGGACACAGTAGGTGTTTTTAAGGGTCAAGCCATAAAAAAAAAAAAAAAAAAGGAACGGATTTTGCAGAACAATTCCTTATGGCTTCTGCCTCTCCTCCCAGCAACAAACAACCCAGGTTGGGATTTTAATCTGCTTTTTTTTGGTGTGGATGTGTTGCAGGGATAGAGATGATTCCTTTTGGGGGGGATCTCAGCCCAGCCCCAGGCATGTGCTGTCTGCACACGTGACCCCATGAATGTAGTCTGGTGGAGAGAGGAACTTACGAGTCCATGTGGATCTGCCAGTAAGCCTTGCGCGTGACGTTCATCCAGGTGAACTCGCCGGTGTAATACTTGGGATCGGTCCCTCCCAGGAGCAGCTCACCACCAGGCTGAGCACTGGGGTCTCTGAAAAACAACACCCAAACTTGTGAACATCAGGGACAGGGTGAGAAACCCCCCTTTAACGTGACTCCAAAATACATGCTGGGATGCTTGGAAGTGAAGCACAGCCTTAGCAGCATTGGAGATGGACAACTTACATTGAGCTGTGTTATGTCAACAGAAGGACAGATACTGTGAGATAGACTGGGCTGGGGAAATGGGAATATTTTGGTCCAAAGCATCCTGAAGCTTTTCCCCTAGTGCTTTGTCACAGACACCTGACGAAACTCGTGGTAGAGAAGGGGGATGGCAAAGGGAAATTGAGCACTGACACAAGGATTCCCCAAATATCTGCTCGTAAAAAGTGCCTGTGCAGGGCTGGACAAGGCTGATGCAGGGTTAGGTTATCTGCACTTGATGCTGTGCCAACCAGCAGCCTTGGAGTGAATTCTCAAGGTTACCATCAGATAGAAGCTCACTGCCAAGCAGATGGGAAGAAATATGGTGATGGGGGAGGGCTGGTGCTTGAACAGCCAGCAGCAGCTCTCTGTGCCCTCCCCACTCCTGACGTGCTACTTTTTGAGCTGAAGTAGTTCAGAGTCCCTGCTGCAGTGACAGGAGGGTGATGGGGTGTCCTGGGGGGAGCAGCAATGGGTGGGAAGGTGCTAAAAGCTGCAGATTATTTCCCAGGGGGTGAGAGAGAACATTAGCCCCATCATTAGTGAAGACTGGTGGGGGGCACACTTGCCTGGGGGGTGGCCATGTGGCTTAGGGATTTTGGCAGCAGACTGGGGCAGTGTTTACCCCTCTAAAGGGGACTGCACAAGCAATTTCATGATCACAGCCCCGTTTATTTTTTTTTCCCTCTTCCCTCTGGAATCATCCTTTCTCTTCATCTGTTAAAAAAACTGGTTGCAGATCTACCCAGCTTTTTATCAGTAAAATAGCTGCATTTCTACTTCCCTTCTTGTTACTCCAAAGCAGTAAACAGAAGATATTTTGGCCTGACTGCTCCTGCAAGCAGAACTTGCTGAAGCTTACCCAACTGGGAAGTGCTGGCCAGAGTGTAAAATAGCAGATGACAAGAGGTACTATTGGGAGACAGAGAAAAGCCCTCTTGGCTTGCCCTCACAATGAGAGGGCAAGTGGAGTACTGCCAAATCCACCAAATCCAACACTACCTGTTCAGGTAGAAAGAGAACACATTTTTCTCGATCAGCTTCTGTTGCATGATGTTATCAAAGAAAGGGACGACCTGGTCCACAGAGATCCTTGGGAATGCCATGCCCAGGATGCCGTCAAACTTGGCAGCGATGAATGTCATGCCTGGCTGCTTCACGGCCTCCCCAAAGGTCTGATGCTTGATTTTCAAGTTACCGAGCTGCAGGGAGATGGGGAAGGAAGGGAAAAGCAGACTGTAAAGAAAACTGACACAGGGGACCAGGGTGGTAACGGTATCTCACTGAACACAGGCTGTAGTGTGTCCCTCAGTGTGCTGCCACACTCCTGCCTGATTTCATCGTTGCATTTGTAGGCAGCTGCCAAAACCAGATACCCCAGCACCACCCTTGTCAGGGGAAGAAACAGGCAACTCTGGCTGCACAGCGGAACCTCCTGAGTACCTGCAAGGCTCAGCACACCTTTAAGGGCAGGAGCTCCCTTTGCTCTTCACCCACCTCACTCAGCCCTTTTAGCCTTTTCCTGGGTCCCAGCACTGGCCATGCCATTCTGCAGCTCCTCCTCTTTGCACAGAGGGACCCATATCGCTTTGTCCCCCCTACGTTCCTTTCCCTATCACCTACTTCCTCATTTCCGCCCAGTCTGAAAAGCTCTTGTGCTGCATCTTTAATCCTCTTCCCCACCCTGGACATCTTCTAAGTCATCTCTGTATCCTGCCTCCTGGGGTGCTTCACCCATCAGCAGTCGGGAGCACAAATCCCTCTCACCTCTGCCCATAACCCCCATGATCTCCTCTACATGAGAAATATCCCCAGGACATTGCTGCATCTCTTGTAAGAGCCACCACCCTGCAGAGACCTCCCGTGGGAAGGGAGAAGACCAGCCGAGAAAGTGAGGTTGAGCCCGCAGCACAAAAATAGCAAGTGGAGTACTGAGAATTCAAAGGTCACTGCTTTTGCCAGCCATGAGAAGGACTGGCATTCCCCACTGGAAAGCTGAAACGCCTTGCAAGGGCAGATCCCCGGAAAGAAGATTGCAGAAAGCAGGACAGCTCTGCTGATGAGGAGCAGGACGCATCTGCTGGCTCCTGGCTTGAGCAGTTCAGGAGGTTTGTGAGTTTCTGGCTGACCACAGGCAATTTTAGCATCCATGCTAGGACAATTTCAGCCTCTCAGCCTGCAGCCGGCAGCCCTGTAGTGAACCAGGCTGGACTGACAAGCTGGCCTCTCCTACCTGATGGCAGATAACGATCCCTGTAAATTACTAATATACCCTCAGGGCTAGACACTGCAAGGCTGGGATGGCAGCGCTGCCTTTAATGGTATTGGAGGATTGCACTAGGAAAGGGTGATCGAGCCTTGCAAAAGCTGAAAGCCACAGGGCAGGATGTGGGGTGAAAGAGTACAGCAATGCATCCGCTCGCTGGCACGTGGGGAGTGCTCCAGTTGTTTGCTGCAGGTTTACAAAAGCCACCACTCTGCATTGCTGGTCCTGCAGCAGCTCAGAAAGTTCAATAAAGCTTCCACTTAAAAGAAAGTAAAATGCAGCGGCTTGATAACACCGAGCACCAGATTTGTTTGGGTATTGCCCTGCTTGCACATCCCAAGGGGGAGGCAGGTATCTGCCCAGTCATAGGGTCTCAGCAGACCCTGCCTGCGCTTGGTCCTCAGCAGGACAGAAACCCAAGACCATCTATAGCAGAGCGCTGCTGCCAGGTGACAGACCTTTGTCTCTGTCGCTCTCCTGGCTCTTGCCCAGACACAGAGCAATCGAAAATCATGATCAGTGGATGGCTGTGTAGTGGCTGCCCTCCAGGACTTTGCAGACAGGTGTTGGTACCCCACAGCTCATCTGACCTCCTTGTTAGGGGCCTCAGGCAGTGGGCAAGCGCTGGATGGCAAAGGCAGACTTATGAGGTGAGGGCCTCTGTGGCACAGCTTGGCACCAGGGCTCAGGGTGCAGAGGCACAGGGGAGAGGCAAGGAAGGGCATCTCCTGTGTGCTGTATCTGCACTGCAGTCATGGGAGAGACCTCATGCCCCATGGCCAGCAAATGCCCTCTGCTGTCCTTGAAGGACATCCCAAGGTCAGGTTGTGATAAAGGGATGAGATGCCTGAGCAGCAGAGGCTGCCTGAACCTGCTGCTCTTGGGAGAGCAAGCAGCACTGGAGAGTGTGGTGCTACAGGGCATCACTCCTCCACAGGAGAGAGGATGTTTTATACAAGCTCATCACCCTCTCAAAAAGAAATTCAGGACTGAGGGACTCTGGACTACCTGACAATCAACACCTTTTGGTGAGATATCTGAAGCCAAGTAGGTCACACTGAACACTATTTCAAACGCCTGTATTGCCAGACTGCACCTGACTGGGAGCTTGCCTATGGCATGCTGTGAATCAGAGGACACATCTTAGTGTCCAAGCTGAAGTTCCCCAACTCTCTGAGTTGCCCTTGCTCCTGTGTACTACAAGCCTGACACTGCTCAGCTACATGCAGCAGGTTTCTCTTGTTTCAGTGCAGACAGAAACCAAGTGCTACAAGCTGTGCTGTTTGCCAAGAGCCATCCCCACTTCCCAAAAAAACTCAGGCACAAAATCCTCACTCTGAGCTGCCAGGAAGTGGAGAGCTAATTAGCAAGCAGGCATTAGGGTGACAATTACAAACCAAAAGATAAAATGCTGCAATTTTCCTTCTGATTCACTTCAGCCCCTGCATTAAGCTGGAAAGCGCCTAAATCAGCCCACACTTTCTAAGGACAGTAAAGTTTGCTGTTTGCCTTGCTGCCTCTTTGGATGCACTGTAGAGCCAAAGGCTGGTGCTTCCAGGCTAGACTGAAATTTTCATGCTATAGGGATGAGCTAAAGAATGCACCTTGTCTGAGTCACATGCCTTAGGCTTCTCTTGGATATTTTTCTTTTGATTCTGATGAAATTGGTAAGCCAATACTTTTCAGCTGAACCTACACAGAAATGTCCAAATCCCTAGATTTATGTGCTTAATTCAAAACTTCTGCTTTGTCTTTCCCCCCCTGCAAAGCAAACATATGCTCTTAACCCTGCCAGGAGACTGAGTAATCTGAGAGCACATGCACCACTGAGGTTCAGCAGCTGGCAAACTCTTACGAGCATCTGGACCTGGGAGGGAGAAAGCCATGAAAGGCACCTGCCCTTCAAAAGACAGAAAGCTCAGCCTTTGCTCACTGAAAAGGAAACTGAGAAGCAACCACCAACAATCCAGCTAATTCAAGCTGGGGAACCTCCCCCCAGGGTGTTACCCAGCCTTTGCAAACATGAGCACCAGTTCTTGACACGAGACCAGGATGGGGCAGTCAATAGACAACTTCTGGCCTGTGTTTGGGAAGCTGCCCATGTGAACATCCACTAATGTGTGGATACTGTCCAGGAACAAGCTGGGCACCACCAGCAGCCTGTGCAGTGGTGCTGGCATGTGCTTGGGCTGAGAAGTTTCTACAGTCATGAGGAAGAGGGTTGGAGAGATGGCCAGAAACCATGTTTGCAGGGCACCATGCATGCAGTCCCTGCTCCCAGCCTGCTGACTTGCAGATTAATACCTTCCCCCTTGTCTGCCTGCCATGGCCATTGTTACCTCCACAGTCATAATCACCATATCATTTCAAAGCACTTGGAAACACAGCACTGAAGCATGCTCTACATGAGCAGGACACTCAAGGAGGGAGACCTGTTGAAGTCAAACACCTTCAAGTACTCTACTGAATGGAGTCTGGGGCCGCTCGGGGCAAGGGCGGCTGTAACTCACCGTGACTACGTCCTCGCTGAGGAACCCAGTAAGGCTCCCTGTCCCATAGTGGATGGAAAATGAGGTGCCATTCTTCACGTAAGTGCTGGATTTAGAGGAGTCGTACTTGTGGTGCAGCACTGCAGTCAAGAAGGGGGACACAGGGGGACACACAGCATTAGTGCTCCTTGATACCTACGGTTCCCCGATACCTAACCCTACACCACCCAGCTTATCTGGACAAATGGACACTCAGTGATGTGAAGGTGGGCCTGAACCCAGCATTTACCAAGCCCAGACTGCTTAACAAAGCATTTCCAATGTCTGGGGAATTAGGTGGGCAGATCCAATTCAGGCTGTTAAATCGGATTTGGCCACTGGTTATTAAAAGCCTAGCAGTTATCTCGCTGGTGTGACAGGGTGTGTTAGCAGAGCAAAACGTGTACCCCCTCCATGTCCTGGAGAACTAGGGTGGCTTTAAATACAGCCTGCTCTGGGCATGAGCATTTTCTCCTCATGGACTTACCTGTTTGTTTTACTAAGACTACTTGAATTTTTTTTTTTTGTACAGAGAAGGCTCAAAATATTCTTTTATTTGCAGAGGAGAAGGGTTTTCCCCTAGTCTAAGCTCCTTTTCCTCTTGGATGGATTGGGATCTGTCAGATGTCTGTGGTTTTACGGCCAGGCAGATTCCTCCTCCACAGACTCCTCCCAAGTCACGAGTTGGCCAGCACAGCTCCACAACTGCTTACTGAGCAGAGCAGATGATGGCTGAGGACCAGCTGAGCCGTACAGAAACCAACATTCTAGATGGGGCTTTCCCTGGCTAGGCTGCCTGAGTCCCAGTTTGGTTCCCAGTCTGGCAGGACTCATAAAATGAGCCCTTTGGTCTGAGCACCTCACAAGCCACTGCCTTGAGAAACCTTCTCCTCACTACACATCAGGAATCCCCAAAACAGACCAGGTCTGGACCTCCCTACCTGTGTCCTAAATCTCATTTCACACATGCAAAAAGGAGATCTGTCTCCTCTCTGGGCACTACAGGGCCGTAGAAGTCAAAATTTCCACCCTACTCCCAATGAGCACTGTGGAATGCCTTTCATGGTCACATCTGTTGACTCGACAGGTTTCTCCACTCTGCTTAAGCAGCACAGCTGGTGGCTTTTAAATGGCATTTTGCCATAGCCAGGTTTGACACCTTCAGCTGCAGAGGTTTATTGCATAGGAATGCCATAGAGCAAAAAAACTTGTAGTCCCTAAGATGTTCTCATCTCACTGTGCCTACCTGGCTCTTGTTAATTATAACTCCATAAACATGCATGCACATGCTCTGTGCAGCAATAAACCAGAAACTAGGACAGTTTGTATCAGATCTGGCAAGAGGCTGACTTAAAAAAAGTCTGCCTTGCGCAATGGGGTAACAGCAGCATTGGTCTATAATCTGGGGAGAAACATCACAACCTATGATGCTGCTCCTCTGCTGCAGTGCCAAGGCTGTTGGAGAAGATTTGGCCTGTGTGTGGATGACTTGGAAGGGGAAAAAAAAAACCAGGAAGGGACTAATGAAGGATGGGTGCAGGAGGTTGGAATTGTGTTTCCAGTTCTAACCCTAAAGAGCCCATCAGCCTCTGGCAAGCCCTTTCACGTCGCTGCCTCAGTTTCTCCTCTTGCAAAACAAGGGTCTGCATTTTGCAGGGAAGAAGATGTTGAGCAGTTCTTGGCACCTGTAAACACTTACTGCAGGCGATGTCCATTATGGAACAGTGCACAGATGGCACCCAGAGGTTGGAGGAGCCAGTGTCAAAGATCACAGTGAAATTCTGAGGCGGGGTCCCGATGCCGATTTCGCCAAAATACTGGGCCTGCAAAGGAGGTGAAGGAAGCCATGAGCAGAGGGAGCTGGCTAAAAGCAGGGACTAAAGACCAAAAATCTCTTAGGGTTGAATAGGGGATCAGCTTCTTATCTAGACACTGCCCGCCTCTTGTTTTTGGCACTGATGGGCTCCCAGCCTTTGTTCTCTGGAAGGGAGGCTCCCCTTCAGTGTTCACAACTCATTACAGTGGGTGTGAAAAGGATAAATCCAGGACAACTGGGATGGGTGTGTGCGGGGGAGGGCATTTGGGACACGGAGACAGGGAAGAAGAGAAGAGGGAAGGTCTGCAGGCTAGCATGAAGTTCACTATAAGGAAGAGAAAAAAGATGGAAGGAAGCCAAGCAAAACACCTGCATTATTGAAAAGCTGAAACTGGCTGGGAAGCAGCTTTGCTGGTAGGTTCACAAAGGAGCTGTGGGTTGCAGCGAGCAGCAGCTCTGCCCACCACAGGTGAGGTACAGCTGCTGGGGCTTTTGGCGCTTGCTGGTGAGTTCCCAGGGTGGGGAGGAATAAACAATTGCTCAGTCATGGGACCTGGAAGACTGGAGGAGTGGTGGGAGCAAAGGGCATCAACAGCGCCACCAGAGGTGGATTTAGGCCTTCAGGGTGAAAGTCTGGGAGATGTCCCTTAAGCACAGGTATTTGACGGATGCCCTGTGACTGCACCTCTGCTGGGACTGGAAAAAAACCTGAATGGCTGAGCTGTTTGCAAGGCATCCCTCTACCTGCAGAGGACAGGATGAATGGGGAATAACAGGCAGGTCCCCTTTTTGGGGCCTATTTTTATGGACCTATTTTATCCCAGTCCTACCGAACAGGCAGAGGGCTGTGTCGTGCCTGGTGAGCAGCTGGATCAGAGTCCTGGAGAGAAGGCTGCTAGTAAGGAAAGTCAGCCAGTAGCCTTTCCAAACCCCCCATGCACTTAATTAAGGTGCAGGGAGAAAACAGGATTATCAAAGCTGTTTATCTCCCGTGCGCTTAGTTTGCAAGTAATTAACAATCCTTTGCAATTAGCCAAAATGGGGAGGCAGCACTTGTTTTTCACTGTTTCTGCAATTATTGCTGGGGCTTGAAAATCAACCCCCCGTACAGGGGCCCTGTACCTCACATACACAGACCCAAGAAGGGTCCCAGGGCTAGCACAGAACATATGAGGCAGTCAAGGGCAGGTTGAGCCTTTTGTCCCAAGAGTTCCTCCAGCGGCAAAAGCCTTTTCACCCAGGCCGGGCGGGACCAAAAGGTTCCTTATCTCCCACCACAGGTTGTGCTGGTGGCCCTATGACAAGGGAGAACAGTCCTTCCCTAATGCAGTCTGAGTTGTGGTTGCAAGAGACAACACCATGACACAACTGCTAGTGGCCCTGGCTTTCAACACCACCAACTGAAACAGCGGTGGCCCTTCCCAGCACAGGACAGTGCTGACTGGGTGACAAGAGCTCCTGGAGAAGGGAAGCAGGGGGAAATATCCTGAATTAATGCCCAGATATCTGGGGCTAGCTTTATTCTGACAGCCAGTGCTCACATCTTACTCTGCCAAGAGTGGTGAAGGTACCCAGTGAGGCACCCAGAAATAGCAAACCCCACACGTGTCTGGCAGCTGGGCAAGGGCAAACTTCATGCCCTTTATCTGGCTTTTCACCACCATGAAGGTCCCCTTGCTCCCTAAGTTGCTGAGAAGAAATTGGAGGTGTAGGGTGGCTTTTCCCAAGGCAGTACAGAATATGAAGAATAGTGAGAGGAAGGGTCCTGCATCCCCAGTCCTGTAACAAGCTGGCTCCCAGTCTGAGCCTTCTTCCTCTACCCCGTGCTCACTCTTTTATGCCCCAACGCCTCAAGGAGTGGAGCATGATTTTTATGGCCCTGTCTTGCCAAAAGTATTACCCAAATGGGCTAGGAAGGACTGCAAGAGAGCAGGCCCCTATTTACAGTCGTTAATTACTGACAAAGGGGAAAGGAAATAGGTCACAAACTGAAATGCTCTTGCTTGGGTGGTAGAGGGTTGTTTGCTGTTGTCATTATTATTTATAATTATTAGTATTAGTATTTTTGGTTTAGTAACGATGGGAAGCACCTTTTGACACCCACCCACTAAGCCATGGAGGTGCATGAATCTGTCCTATGAGACCAACATCTCTCCCTCCTTTACCTTCCCAGCTGTGGTGGGACAGTGAGGCTGGCAAGTCCCACCACGCCCTTGGGATGGGTACCCCCAGAAGTGACAGCTGCTGCCTGACACTGTGTTGGGGTCCACTGCAGTGAGGGGGTGGTTGGCGGGGGATTGTTACTCACATCCATGTAGTTCTTCAAAATCTCTGGAGTGGGCTCCTTATTGGCAAAGCCCAGCTTGAACTTGAGGACCTGGGTGAGGGCATTCACATCTGGGATCTCGCTGCCCACCTCATTCAAAATCCGCCGCATGGAGGCGAACTTGGTCAGGGGGATCCTGTGTGGGGAAGGCAAACACCCACCTGTTAAACAGGTGTGTGTAAAGGGAGGGGGGCCCGTAGAGGGGGGGGCAGCAGGGCTCCACTGAAAACAGGGTACATGCCAGCATAAGGTGGATGAGGTTTGGGCTCCTGCCAGCACCTCGGGCTGGACCCCCACGCTGTGCTGTGCTGAGTGCTTTTCCCAAAGCCGGGAGGAGTAGGGAGAAGAGAGGGGTGGGGGTGGCTGCCAAAGGTCACCAGGTGTAGCGGAAGCTGGAGCGAGGCCCCTCCATGAGCAGGGAGAGCTTCAGCCCTTAAACCCCCATCGGGGGGGGGGGTGTCCCAGACCTCCCCCGCACCGTGTGGGAGTGCTGCGAGAGAAGCCCGCAGGCCAAGGCTGCAGGAGCACCGGGGGCGCCTGTCCCATGTCCCCCGTTCCACCCGGGCGGCTCAGCAGCCCCCGAGGAACCCCCATGCCTCACCTGATGAGGGCGGCGCAGGACCCGGCCAGGGCGAGCAGCAAGAGGAGGCCGCGGGGCCCCATGGCGGCAATGGCGCTGGCGGCGGCGGTGACGGGAGTCAGAGGCTGGAGGGTCCCGACGCTGAGAGGCCCCGACGCCGCTCCCGGGCTGCCGTCCCTGTTTTTGTAGGCACGGTGGCCCCTCTCCAGGGATTTCTCGAGTCAGCTGACGGTCTAAAATTGCAACGGGAGGCGTCACGTGAGGGCGGGCCGGGGCGGGGCGGGGCGGGGAGTGGGACCGGGGGCGCCGCCTCACGGCCCCCCCCGGGCTGACCCTCGGCGCCTCGGGCCGTGACTCAGCCCCCGCGAAACGGGAATAAACAGCATGAAATCAGTCACGAGGGGCCCGCCCGGCCGCGCGCGCTCCTTCTGCCCTGACTTTAACTTCCCCCTCTTGGGTGGTTTTCTGTTCTTTCCAGGTTTTCCGGCCTTTTTTCGCCCCCCCGGGAGAGTGGTGGGGGGGGGGGACGCACTCCCCAGCCAGCAGCCCCCGAAACCCCGCGGAGCGCAGGGCCCTCCCAAGCCGGGCATGGCGAGGCCTAGGCTGCTCTCGGACCTCGGTCACTCACCAGGGGGGTTTCATTCTGCACCTCCCGCCCTGGGGGGCTGTGGCAGCCCCCCCAAGCCCCGTGCTTCTCCCTGGCCACAGGACACCTCCAATTTGGGGGGACTCATCCCTCCGAGCTGGGGGTTTCTGGGGAAGATGGGCATATAACTTGGCCACAGCTTTTTTTTGGGGTGGTGCCGGAGGGGTGCCAAAGCCATATGTGCCACCCCTCAAAATGCACTGTGGCAGCGCTGGGAGGGCACTGGCCACCAGCACGCTGCGGTCAATCCCCTGCTCCCCCATTTGCAGGGCTGAGCATCAGGGATCACCAGGATGGGCTTTTTGCCCCCACCGGGGTATCACGGCAAGGCTTACAGGTGCCATGGTGCTGGCTTGGGAGAGCTAATCTCTGCCCGGTTTGCCCCAGCCGAGCTTTTACAGAGCCACGAGACCCATTGGAAAAACAATATAAATGAAACCGGATTTACAGACATTTTTCCTTCCAAGTCCTGAGGGCTAGGGGCGCTTTTTTTTTTCTGCTACTGCTTGTGTGCAGTCTTGGGGACAGGAGAGCAGCAGCCTGTGGAATGAGCTGGGCACTGCTGGAGCGGGGGACCCCTGGCTTCGTGGTGAGGTCCCTGTCCCTCTCCCGTCACCTTCACGTTCATGCAACTTCTGGAAAATTGCTGGGTCACGTCGCCGGCACCTCACTTGCACCATCTCCTTCCCACACGCTGTTCCTGAGCCTTTTCCATCCACCCATGGCCTCACAAGGGATCCTTGCATCCCTGGGTCCATGCCTGCCACTCCCCAAGTGAGGTTCATGCCAATTGTTTTGAGGGGACATTTCTGCCCTGGGCTGTGTCTTGTCCCACTAGTTCTCCAAATTGCTATGCCGCAGCCAAGCTGGTGGGTATCAGGAATCCTGCTGCCTCCCTGTGGGGACATGGTTCCCCGTTGGGATGAGGTTTTCTGGAATGATGGCCAGAGGCATTGGTTGAACCTGGTGGGTCCCGTTACTTCGGCCAGCACCTGCTTCCCTCCTGCCCCTGCGGGCGTGTGGTCAAGGCGAGTGCCACTGACCATGAGTCAGCAAAACCCGGCACCCTCCTGGCCCCGCAGCACTGTGTGACTCAGCAAAACCCCGTGTGGTTCTTTTGGGCAAGGGGCCAAGGCATAGTGGGTCCCCAGCATCTGGAGCCTGACTGCAGAGGCATTATTGCTGCTGCTGTGGGCTCCAGCTTGTGGGTCTCCTCCTCTTGTCCCCCTGGGTACTGGCAGCCCTGTGCTGAGTGGCCGCAGGCAGGAGTGGGTCAGATATAAACTAACCCAACTGTGGTCCCACCCAAACAAATGAACCTTCCCCAAGGGCTCTAGACCCCTTTGCAAATGCGCTTTGCAGACAAAAGGGATAGTCCTGATGCCAGGCCCAGGGCTCCCCTTCACCCCTTACAGGCTTTCGTGGAGCCCTCCTCCCTGCTCTTTGAAGTGGCTGGGAAACTATAGCCGGCCAGGCAACGCCGCCTGGGCCCCAGGCTGGAGCACCTACAGCAGCTCCTCCTCAAGGGTTTCCAGTTTGGCCAGTCTCTGCCAGAATCCTGTGGCTATGGAGTTGGGTTCCAGCATGCAGGTGAGGATGGCATGCCCTGTACCATCACATATTGTAGAACAAAGTCTTTGAGCAGAGTTAAGAAGTCTGGACCCATCTGTGTCTGTTTTGTTAATTCCAAGAGATTTAAAGGCAAGCTTTGCTGTTAGCAAAGCTGTTACGAACGAGCCTTTGCTTGAGCTTCATGGTAACAGGGCTTGTGTCTTCATCCAGAGCTGCTCTCATACCAGTGCAAGAGGGTCACTGCTTTTAGATGGGCTGCTCCAAGTGACTTATGTGTCCAAAGCACCAGTGAGGCCAGACACTTCCTAATGGTTTATTGGGAAAAAGTGAGGATTGCGCTATGTCAGGGAATGTTACAATACTAATTCTCTCCTGGGTGCTTGCAGGATGGGAAGGGATTGGGGGCCTTATCCCCCAGAGCATTTAATCTGGCTCTGGCTCTTGGCACCAGTGGTTTTGGAGCTGACACTGCTGTGCCTGTGTGCTGAGGGAGTGGTGGCTCCAGCAAGGAGCCAGGATTTCTGCATTTGGGCTCCCTCAGCACCTCTGTGGAATGTTTGCCCTGATGTCAAAACCTTGAGAGGTACAGTGGGTATGTTTAAACAGGAGCTGGGAGCACGTCTGGGTATTTATAGGCTGGGACTGTGAGAGTTTATCTTAACAAGATAAACTGGCACGAGCCTGGGATCAGGGTTTTTCACACATTTTTCCTTATTTGTGGAACAAGATGGAGTGCCATGGCTGAGGTGTCTAAAGAACGCAGAGATGTGTGAGAGACAGCTGAGGAATCCATCCCTCCTAACTCCTATTTTTGTCACAATGGATGAACCCCTTTCCTTGCTAGTCTGTCTCCCTGGCCCCCTGCATCCCCCCCTGGCTCCAGGGGGTGAACCAGAGCACTGTCCCCTGCAGCCACAGCTGTGGGTGTGGGGCGACGCGCCCCTGGGAGCTGGCCATGCTTTCGCAACCTTGATCCCTGCTTGAGAGGATTCTCAAGGTGGGGGGTCAAATGACTCAGCTCCAGAGGCTCCAGCTGGGAAGAGAACCCCTGCCCCAACTCTGGGAGATTGGGGTCTCCTCTGTCAAGTGACACCAGGCTGTCCCACCTGCCCTTTGCCACATGGGCAGGGACCTGATGCAGCTTAGTTTATAATCATAGAATCCTTTAGGCTGGAAAAGACCCTCAAGATCATTGAGTTCAACCATTAACCCAGCACTGCCAAGTCCACCACTCAACCCTCAGCACCACATTTACATTGCTTTCAAGTCCCTCCAGGGATGGTGGTTCTATCACTTCCCGTTCCAATGCCTGAACACCTTTTCAGGGCAGAAATTTTTCCAATATCCAGTGTAAAGCTCCTCTGCCACATCTAGAGGCTGTTTCCTCTCATCCTGTTACCTCCTACCTGGGAAAAGAGGATGACCCTCACAACCCCCTTTCAGGTAGTTGTAAAGAGCAATGACATCTCACCTGAGCTTCCATTTTGCTGAACACCGCCAGCTCCCTCAGCTGCTCCTTGTAGGAGTTGTGCTCCAGACCAGCTCCACTGCCCTTCTCTGAACACGCTCCAGCAGCTCAATGTCTTTCTTGCAGTGAGGGGCTCAGAACTGGACACAGGACCCGAGGTGCGGCCTCACCAGTGCTGAGTACAGAGGGAATATCCCTGCCATAGCCCTGCTGGCCACACTAGTTTTGATACAGGCCAGGATGCCATTGGTTTTCTTGGCCACTTGGACACACTGCCAGCTTATATTCAGTTTCAAACACCTTATTTTTTGGGGGGCTCCATTTGCAGTCTGACAACATTTTGTCGGGGATGCTACGGTGGCCTGTTTGTCCTTACATATAGCTGTGTGTTTGCCTTCACCCTTTCCTCCATGGTTTTTTTCTATATTTATTTATCATAATGGTAGCCAATGCCCTGAACTGCAATGACCTAAAGGGCAAGGAAAGCTTCCATTCAGAAATGCAGATTTTTGGGTTTTTTTTGCCAAGCTGCAGGTGGGATGTTTAGAGGACAAATGTCTTCAAGTTCAAAAAAATGCGTTTCTGATTTCGAAGCTTGTTGCTAAAAGAGAAAACTACTCCTCCGTCTGAGCTGAGCAGAGCCACAAGCCTGGGCAAGTCTGGTTTCAAACAGCCTGACTCCGACTCAAGGTGCTGGTGCCAGTGTGAAGGTGCTGGATGCAGCTCATTAGCAGAGCCTGATTCACCATCCCTGGGATTCTGAGTATATTAGTGGTAACTTTTTCCTGGCACAGTGCCAAGACCTCGCCCACTCCCAACACCATTTCCTAAACTGATGTACAATTCACAAAGTGGGGGTGCGTTTTCCAGTGGCACTGGCACATCCCAAATTACACCCTCTTTCTGGGTGACACCCACAAAAGCAAACCTGAAGGTGGTTTAGTAGTAGCTCTGTCTGATGGGAAACCTGGGAGCAGGGGAGGGTTTGCACTGAGCACAACGAAGTGACTCATGCAGGCCCTGACGGTTGTGTCCCATCTGTGTAGGCGCTGGGGAAGATGTCCTTGGCATCATGAGTTGGGGCAATCCTCGATCCATTGGTGTCGGCTGACTGGGGCTGGTTTGGAGGCAGCTGGCCAGCAGCCTGCTTAAATGTGTTTTGGCTGCCAGCATGGGCTGCAGTGACCTTGGGGAGATGCTAAGTGGAGTTGCAAAAGGCTTAGGCTGGGTGGTAATTGTTCCTTTGGTCTCTCTCATGCTGCAAAAACCCTTTGTCCTGGTGGAAGGTGAGGACGGCTCACCGGTGGCTGGGTGACACAACTGGGTGACACGACAGGCAGGGACCCTGAGAATGGCTCCATCCCCATCAGGGCCATTTGCAGCAGCCTTTGAGCATGAAGTGCTTTCACCCCAGTGGACTTCTCCATCGGATCCTGCTCTTCCAGCCTTTCCCCTCTAGCTTTTGAAAAAAACCAGAAAGCATTTATGTGGCAAAATACTTATGGTCTTTAATCCTGTGAGCTGCCCTGGTGTTTTCACTAAGGTTTACTTGCACACCACCTTGCCTCAGTGGGCTGCTGCCAAACTCTGCATTGCCTGTCCCTGTGTCCCAGGCACTCCGTGGCCCTGCCCAAATCCTTGCCACCCCCGCACCACCTGCCCGCTCCTGACCCTGCTCGGCATTAGATGTCCTTCGTCATCCCCTGGCCCATCCTTCTGCATGGCTGGTGACACACCTGGGACCCACCTTGGGGAGGAGGGGACCTGCCTCTCCCTGGCTGCTAGCCCTGTCTGCTCCTCGGGGCAGGGATCTCGTGTTGTTTGCCTCACCCGAGTTATTTTGCAGCAGGCTGAAATTGCCAGGGACAGGCAACAACAATCCTGGCAGACACTGGCAGCAGGCAGCGTGACCGGCGGCTGACGGGATGGGATGGTAAGTGGCAATGATGGTATTGATTCATCCCCACCCACGCCAGGATGTGATGGGGAGCACAGGGACCCAACTCACCTTGTCACCTCCTTGAGCAATCCCTGCTGTAGTCCCCATGTGAGCCCATCTTGGGGTGGGGGGGTATCGGCTTGCTGGTGGGGTTTCCACGCATGATGAAGAGAATTGTCTCCAGCCACATCCAAGCACACCATCTGTCTCATTTTCTTAGCCAGCACTAGATGTCATTTATTTTCTTTAATTTCCAGCAGAAGCTGCCCCAAGAAGGCCATCATTTGTGCAATCATGTCTCCTCAAAGTGACAAAACACTGAAGCAATTGAGACTTCTGATCCTGGGAGGAGTGTGGGCTCAGGAAGACGAGGGTCAACACCCCATTGCAACCCAAGGATCGGCTTAAAGTTGCAATGTGTTTTCTTGGATTGGGAGCAATCAGCTTCCACTGGTGATTTGGTGAATCAATCTGGACCTCCTGGGGCAGTTTCTGCTGGGTCAATATGCCCACATAAGCTCTGAATTCTAATTGATTGTCACCTTTCTCCCAAGCTCCATCTTCACATGCCACCCCAGCCATTATATCCAGTGTGACTGCCTGGGGTTAAGATTTTAAACCCAGGTTTAAACACGTCGGCAAACAGAGTCTGTAGCTTTGCACACCCTCTCTCTGACCTTCTGCACACAAAACACCCTGTTAATAATTTTTTGCAGTGTGGGATGTGGCATCTCAGCCTCTCTGGCTAACAACCCCTGAGTGTTTCCCAAGGAGCACTGCCACCAGGGTGACTTAGGGTTAGGGTTATGGTCAAAAATGTGAAGATGCTTTGCTCCGTGCTTGTGACCAAAGGTGCTTGTAGGTTATGGGTGGAGGGAGGTGTGGGAACATCCTGACAGACAGTACAGCTGTGCCCAGGTCTGCAGCCTCCAGCATCCTCTCCTGCTGCAGCCAGAAGTCAATGAAGCCGAACAGTTCGGACACTGCCACTGCAGCGCTGGGTTGTTTTGTTTTTAGCATTGCAACTCTGAATTGACTGGTGCAGTGAGTGGGGGATTAAGGGCACGGTCCTGGGCAAAGGTCTCCTGTGAACTCCTCGGGGCCAGGCAGCTGCAGCCTCTGATCCCTGGGGTCACATGCCCCACTCCGAAACAAGGGCCACTTGTTTGACATCGCTGGCAGCACTGGGCTTGGGAGAGGAGGCAGCTGGTCTGCTTGTGGCTGAGCAGAGGAGGACATTGCCCGCTTACCTCTCTGGACCAGGAGGGTGTCTTGGGGGTGTCCCAAGCAGTGCTAGAGGGGGACACCTGGACACCAGGCAGCTTTGCCTGGGGTTGAAGGGGTTTGTTGGAAAGCAATGGTCAGAATCAAGTGCGGGTCCTCAGAGTCCACTTTTCACTCCTTTGCACTTCTTTTACTGGAGTGGAAAGGTGTGAAACCCAGCAGGGTTCAAAGGGAGCCTGTACCTGATGGTGACACAGGTGCTCCTGCCTTGCCCTAGCCGCCAAAACATGAGATGGATATGAGAGAAACGTGTTACAACCAGCCCCAGCAGCTAAACCCTCTTTGGGCTGCAGTAGCAGGAGACCCTTGGGCATCAGCAACCCCTTGAAGGAGGGAAATCAAGATACCTTGGAAAGCCAAAACCTAAGGAGCATCCCAAGCATTAATGAACTCATTACAGACACTTCTAAGACAGAAACAGCAAGTCTGTCTGTGCAGCGGGGCATGAAGCTGCATCAATCCTTTCTGGAGGGTGTTTCTGATGCTCCATCTTCAGAGCAGGGCAATAAGGGCAGTTCTGATGCTACACATTTGAGCCAAGGCCTGAAGCAGCTGCACTTGGCCCTATATGATGCAACCCTACAAGCATCGAGTTTCCTTCCTTTTTTTCCTATTTTGGGCACGTTTTACCCTGTCATCCCCCACTGTGCTGACAGTGCTGGAGGAAGGCATGTGGCACTTTCCCCCTGCCTCAGCATCCCACGCACTGCGATGGCTCACGTGGGCCTGTTCCCACCACTCTTGACTCAGCTGATTTCCTCTTGCCCAAGGCATTGACCAAGCTCCCGCTGGCCCTGTCCAGGCATCGGCAAATGTGACAGATTGGAGTGGGGGAGGATGTCGAGGACCACCGTCACCCCCACCACTGGCTCCGTGCCCCCACCACCAGTTGCCACCGAAGCAGCTGGCTGTGCACGGTGAGCAGGGCTGGAGACGGGCGCGTGGATCACCGCATGGAGCCTGGTGGTGTCTGACCTGCATGAAAGTGGGACGAACATCTGTACCTGCTTACTGGTCGTGTTTTGAGCATCCTGTAATTAATGTTTGCTCAGCTGACGGCTGCTTAGCATCATTAGCAGATGATGAGTAGCTGATGTTGTTGATGTTGCTACCTTGAAACATCTAATTTCAGCATCTAGACTGAGCAAAAGGGCAGGGGGCCAGACTCCTGGTGCCAAGACTCTGCCAGGCTTTGCTGCTTTGGAGGTGGCTTCCTATTAAAACCCTGCACACAGGCATCCCTGCCCACCCTTAGCCACCAGAGTAGGGACAGGACCTGTGCTGGCAGCATGGTGGGGCCAGCAGCACCCTTTGCTGGGTCAAGGTGTGCAGAGTCCCCAAGCCCAAGGTAGCAGGAGTGAGCTTGGGGACACAGACACAAGATGACATTCAGGAGCTTAATCCAAAGCCCATTGAAAGTTTATTTTGTATTTAACCCATCTTGATGAACGTGTATAACACCTAATAAATAACTGAATGTCTGTTAAGGAGCACCGAGTTATCCCACCCCTCCTCCCACACTGCTGAACACAGGCACGAGGAACAAGCACTCACAATGGGATGCTTGTTTATTTATTTATTGGGCAGAAAAAGCATTGAAAAGAGAGCAACACTTCTGAAGCCTTTAAAAAAATTACTGATTATGCTGAGATTAAAAAAACGAAGCCAGCGTTGTCTTTATCTCCTCAATCCATAATCCCACTGCCACCTGAGCAGCCAGTTCGGTTTTTTTTACGAGGCAGCTCTGGAGAGCTGACAGGGATTTGAGGTGCCATGTCCCCAGGCAGCACAGTGGCCCCTAGTGGCGACTCACATACAGCCCCGGGGAAAGAAACCCGCAACGGAACCTTGGGGGGCTGCTTGTTGCCAAGGAAAATTAGGAGCTGAGTCCAAATTGCCAGAGGAGAGGCTCCCCTGCATGGGGTGTGCCATGATACCAGAGAGAGAACCGAGCACACCTACGAACCCCATCAGCAGGGAGCAGTTGCTCCCGAGACCCTCACCCACGCCCTCCACACACAGCTCTGGAGACCCACTTAAGCTTGGCCATGGCACCCAGTCCTGCCCGGGCCCCTTCGGTGGCTGGTCTGCAGCCCTGGCAGCCCTGGCTCCTGCATGGCTTGTGCTGCAGGCAGCCCATCTCCACTGCCCTCTCCTGGTAGGACATCGGAGCTATGTGGCAGCTTTGTCTCTTGGATGGACCTCAGTGCTGGGTTGCAGCTTGTTCCTGTACTGTAGCTGTGGGAGCTGAGTGTCCTACAGGTCTGTGTCTCCTAAGAGCACTCTGTGAGCAGCCTGCATGCCTAAGGAAAACTGACTTGTGCTATAACCTCTTTTATAAGGGGGAATAACTTAATAAGGGCTTGCTTTCTTCAACCTGTTTACCCATTTCTAAAAGGTTTGTAGGTCCTTTACAGTTTTGAAATCTTTCTCTTCTAAGTTTGGCTGGAGCTGCCTGAAGGACTTGCTAGCACATCAGTGTCCTCAGGAAACCAAGCTGAGTGTGTCTGGTGAGGCAGGGTCTTGAGGGCTCCCTTTAGGCAGAGAACCTGGGAATAAACCATAGAATCATAGAATGGCCTGGGTTGGAAGGGACCTTAAAGATCATCCAGTTCCAGATCCCCTTGTGAGGGTAGGGGGGGACACCTCTCACTAGATCAGACCCAGAGCTCCACCCAACCTGGTCTTGAACACTGCCAGGGATGAGGCTTCTACACCTTCCTTGGGCAACCTGCTCCAGTGCCTCACAACCCTCATAGTAAAGAATTTTTTCCTAATATCTAATCTAAACCTATGCTCAGTTTGAAACCACTACCCCTTGTCCTGTCCCTCCAGGCCCTTGTAAACAGAATCTCTCCATCTTTCTTGTAGGCCCCTTCGGGTACCAGAAGGCTGCAATTAGGTTGCCCTGAAGCCTTCTCCAGGCTGAACAAACCCAATTCTCTCAGCCTTTCCTCGTAGGAGAGCTGTTTCACCCCTCTACTCAACTTGATGGCGCTTCTCTGGACTCACCTCAACAGGCTGATGTCCTTTCTGTGCTGCTCCATCTTGGAGACTGCCTGAGAACAGCCAAAGCTACTATTTTTAGTTCATGCTTCCTTTAGCTCATGTGTGTGGCAAGTCCCCAGGTCCTACTGGGCATGTAGGTGTAGTCCTCAGTGTCACAGCAAAGGTGTCTTTCTCTCCTAGAGCAGTTGCATCTTTTCGCTTTATCCTAAGACCTAAAGGACCTCATATCAGCAGCAGAAATGAGCATTAAGTTTTGCATGGGAGTCCACGCTCTTGTCCCCTTTTCCTGAGATTTACTTGCTGCATGTCAGGAAATCTCTCCTTTTCCACCATAAGGTTTGCCTCCAACTGGCCCAGTCCCCTGCGTGGCTGGGGGGGGAGGACTGCAGCCCATCAGCAGCAGGAGGGGACCCAGGCAGAGGGCACACCCACATTTTGAGCCCCTTGGATGTTATGAAGCCCATCATCAAAGAAGATGTGAGGCTGGATCTGGGCGAGGATGGGGCCCTTGGGAGCCCCATCCATGAAGAAAGCCTCATCGATGGCCAGGCCCCATTCCCGGAGCGTCTTGATGGCTCGGATGCCCATGTCCCGGCCGCTGCGCGCCGTCACCAGGTAGGTGCGGATGGGGGATTTTTCCTGGCTGAACTTCCTGCGCATCTTCCCAAGGTGCATGGCAAAAGTCTTCAGGGGACCCTGGAAGCACAGCAAGACAGTTGGGAGTGGGTGAAAAATAAGGAGACAGCTACTCTGCCTGTACAAGCTACTTGTTCCTCTTCCAGGGTTCCTCAGGGCTCTGCAGAGCACAGCAATGTCTGTGGGCTGCAGGACTGGGCAGTCTGGGACTGGTGCGGTGCACTGGGGTGCTTGGGAGGAAGGTGAGACTTGTGGTGCTCATTCTAATCCCAAAGTAACCAGGAAGGTACATCTCAGTGAGCAGTGCCTCTGGGTCCGAGTCCTGCAAGTGGTCACATCCTACAAAAGGTGATGTTGAGGATAACCACAATCCTGGATATTTGGGAGCTGATGCTCACTTATAGGAGAAAACAGGCCAGATCCATTTCCAGGGGGACTCCAAATCAGGCCCACACCAGGGACTGAAGGGTGGATGCCTAGGGAATTTGTAAGGATTTGTGCTTTTTTGGCTGCTCATGGCAAAGCCCAAGTGGCAGTGATGGCAGAGCCTGTGGGTGCCCAAGGAAGGGAGGTGGCATGCTCACCTCTCCCATGGGCACGGCCTCCATTGCGTGCTCGTACCGCACTGCCCCCTCCAGCCCGTGCTCCTGGAAGATCTGGTCTGTCTCGTCGGAGAAGAGCACGGCATCCCCGTCAAACACCACGCGGAGTGGGGTGCTGGGGGCCTGCACCTCTTGCTGGAAAATGAGCGCTGCTGAGACCCCTGTGAGACAGAGCAAGGTGGGGGTCAGGAAGGACACCGCCCCTGGGGGCAGCTTGTGCATGGCAAGCTCTTCCCCACACATCTGCTGCAGCCCCATCCCACACCACCATATCAGGATCTCCAAGCCATGGAGCCTTCTGTGGGAGTCGACCCAGCCTTTCCAGGGCTGTTATGCCTCCATGGGGATGGACAAGGAAGTGCTGCTGATCAGAGACCAAGAGATCTCTGCTAAGAGATGGTGTGTGGTTGTCAAGGCATGAGCAGCCCTCCTCCTGGTGCTCGCTCACCCTGCCAAGCCTGGCTTTAATGTTCAGATTTAGCTCTGTGCTGTGAATAACACAGACTGGCATCTTCATTGATTGGTGTAATTGGCTTAATTTGGCTTAATTCCTACAAGCTGCACCCTGCCCACCCTCATCCATGGATCCAGGTCCCCAGATGGGGGACACTTGTCAGAGCAATGATGCTCTCAAGGAGGCTCCAGGAATGTCCTGTGTAGACAAGGAAAGTCCAGGCTGCAGATGTCTTGCTCCTGACCTTGAAGAACGTGGCCAGCTGATGTGCTCATACCCAAGTGAATTAATAGGAAGGCAATTAACCCCATTAGAGCTGTGGGGAGACTGCACTCCCTCCCATCTAGGTCAAACATGTGCTTTCATCTGTCTCTGAGCACACAGTAACTCTACATGTACCAAGGCAGCAAATTTCTATGGCATCCTCACAAAGCCCTGGGAATCACTGATGCACTCTCATCGATCAGGGAGCAGCCACGGCATTGCATCTCTGGTTAAAAAGGCTTAAATATCAGGCAGGGAATGACCAGCCCATGGCAGAGCTATGGCAAGAATGATGCATAGAACACTCAGTGACTTGTGAAGGCATCTGAGCAACCCTGGTGTGTTTGCAGGCTACTGGTAAAAGGACAGAAGAGGAGACTGAACTGTTCAGGACTGTACTGATATTCAATGCCATCCACCGCTTGCCCCTGTGAAACCTTGGGTCTGGTGCTGCCTCTTTGTACTGGGCTACTTGGGAAAAGTGTGGTGTGTTTGGGGACGTGGGATGGAGAGGAGAACGTACCTCTCTGGAGGGCATTGCACACATCTGTCCTGTCAGCTGAGAGGAAGAGCTTGACCCCGTGGGACTTCAGGTACTGTGTGGAGTCCTCATCGCTGACAAAGCAGAACTTGGAGATCTCCAGGCCTTCAGGTCAGGGAATGTGAGAAAAGTCTGTTATGGAGCAACATCCTCTTCACAGCCCCCCAGTCCCTCCCTGGGTTTGGCATGCTTTGCTGCAGGAGCTCAGGGCAATGAATTTCCCAGTACTGTGTGGGGAACCTGCCCACGTTCTGGCTGCATCTTCTTGTTCTATTGCTCCTACAAAACTGTGGAGTGCGGTTAAATATTCCCTCCATCTCTCCTTAAATGAGCATTCCTCATGACAGCACTCTGGGATTTAGGGGTCTTTTATAAAGAACTGGGTTTTTTCAGTAGCTGACTGAGGATGTCCAGGCTGTGCAAAATGCTGCCAGACCTCCTGGTGGTGTGAAGGATATGGCTGAAGGGAGCTGGGCTCTGCCAAGGAGCCTGCGCCCTGGGTGTGCTCCAGCACCCTGGGCAAGCGGCACGGGGCTGGCAGGAATTGAGCTTGTTTCCAAGAGAACCCCTTCCCCTTGATTCTCCTGGCTCTCCATTTGCCACTGATGATCCACTGTGGTGCCTTATCTGTTTCACAGCCGCCTGGGGGAAGCAGGCACCCCCAGGGATGGGTCCCTCTTACCATAGTGTTTGGCGCTGTTGATGATGCGTGCTCCGCTCTCTGGGCTGTTGTTGGAGAGCACCAGGATGTCAAAGAGGTCATTCTCTGCTGGGTTGCTCTCCAGCATCTTCTTGTTCACATACTGCACTGCCTGTGAGGACAAGATGGGACTCTTTTGGAGAGGCATGACTGCAGTGGCTTTGCTGGGGCTCTTCTGCAGTTGAGTTTAGTGGTTTGTGCTCTGTCAGCTATGGCAAAGCTGGCATGTTATGGAGAGCCAGACGGAGCAACCATCCTGCAAAACCCATTGCTAGGGAAGCAGGGAGCAGGATATCTCACCATGGGGGAGATGGACTGATGAGGAGCACAGGTCTTTATGCCCTGCCATGAGGCCCAGAGGCCAGGCCAGGGCCTGCACCCTGTGATGATGGGAGCTGAGACTTACAGCTGAGAAAGCTGAGCTTTCACCCCATCCTGCAAGTGTCTGCATGTGCCACCAGCCAGGTGTGGGGCTCACCTGGATGAAGGCAAAGGCTGTGCCTGGTGGGAGGGGCTTGTCCTGGTTGGCCTGCTGGTGCCTTGTGTACTCCTCCTTGCCCTTCTCCAGGTAGAGTTTGTGCTCCTTCTCCAAGTTGAAGATGGCTCTGGTGGTCACAGCAATGACCAGTGCCTTGCTGGGATCTTTCTGCAGGACAGGGAGGAAAGAGGAGTCAGGGGACAGCAAAGAAGGAACTCGTGGAGGTGAGGTGAGTGGGGGAAACAGGGCTCCACCGACCAGAGTGATGGGGTTGGGTGTTGGAGGTATCACCCATGTGTCACGGTTCCTGATGCCAGAGGTACGAAGCCCAGTCTTCATCTTCAGGCCAGCAAGGATGGGGCTGGCAGTTGTGAAACCCTAACCTGTCTGGTAAGTCCCACATCCTCCAAGGACAGCTCATACAGAGGGGATTGCTTCATAATTTTGCAGTTTGTGGGCACAGTACAGCCATGGTTTGTGCTGAGCTGGGCACTGCTGGGTTTCTCTGCACGTGCTGGTGGTTTTACCCTTTGTGTCTGTTCTGGGCAGTCTAATAAAGTTTCTGTGTACATACAGAAGCTGCTGCTTTCTCCCTGACCACTCCAAAATTTAAGTGTGAGCAAATGTACCTGCCCTTTCCATGCAACTGGAGGTTCAGCCCTGCAACTTCTTTCCATGTGGAAATCACATGGACCTCCCTGGGACCAGATGCTCAGCAGCCCTGAGACAGGCCTGTTCTGCTAAAACCTAGGCACAAGCAATTGAGGCCACCACAGCTCTGCATTGCAATTGAGGCCACCACAGCTCTGGGTTGCGGTGTGTCCTCTCCTGTGGCGGCATTTCAAAACTTGGTTTAGAAATACCGGATGCGTGTTTTGTAATGAACAACCTTTTACCTGTTTCACCTTGGTGTTTATGACTGTGCTTTCAGGCTCTGCCATCTTCAGTTTTCAGCTTCTAAGAGAAAATATAAAACTGACAGATTATAATATAGCCAATCTACAGAAGGGGAAGAGTGGAAAGGAGACAGGGGACATCCTACCAACCAAGTGGAGCAGCCTAAATGAACTTGCTTCTGCTGGCAGCAGCTCTGCTCCCAGGAAAACTGTTCTAATAGTTCCAATTAAATATGATGAAAAAGTGGCTTTTCAAACACAGATCATTGCTTTATTTTTATTTATCTCAAAGGGTACTTTTCTTTGTGTGGAACTGCTGAAAGCTGTTGTGGAGCTATTTTCCCAGCAAAATAAGGCTGTCTTTAAAAGACAAAATAGATCAGATCTTATGGGTAGGTTTCTAGGTCACATCCTTATTGCCTTTTTTGCTACTTTTGCTCGAATGGTGAATTTGCATCTACAAATGAATGAGCTCATTACTCTGCAGCTGTAAAAAGCCAGAGTAAGTAGAGATGTGTGGGTGAGGGCTTGAGTGCAGGCTGGGACTGGGGCTGGTCTGCCCCTCCACAGCCCTGTGAGCCAGCCAGGCCGTACACTGAAGGTCTCAGTGCTACTCCAGGTCTGGCAGATGAAATCTTCGGGGAAGTACATGGGTCTGCCTGTGAGGGCAACTGAATCATAATCCCATTTATTTTCGTACACCCAGGTCCTGTGGTTTCTGTAACCACCATGCTGTACACTCCACTTCTATGTACTAGTCAGTGCTAAAAGTGGATCTTCAGGATTCAGCCTGTGGGATGGGAGCTGTTCCCATTCCCACCAAGGGGGAGCCCATGGGGGTTATTTCCATCCAGTAGCTCCAGGATGGAAACACTGCGGGGTTTCTCTGGAGAGCAGAGGAAGAATGACTGCTCTACATGGATTGCTGGGAATGGCAAGGGGGTTAAAACTTCATTTATCAGTTTATGCCCTACCTGCTTACTGGGCTGGGGGTTGTGCAAGCATAGACCAAAGCCAGCATGCAGTGTGAAGGGCAAGTCAGGGTCTTCAGGGAGACCTTTCTTTTGTTCCAATGTCCTTTAATTGATTTTTGTTATTCAGGGACTGCAAAGCGTTTCCTGGGCTGGTAGGCAATACACTTGTCTGAGAGCCAGAGCCTTGCCATGGGGAGCTCCGGGCTGGCATGTGCACCTCCTGACTGCCTCCGGGGTGGAAAGTCCTGCGGCAGGGCTGCTCCCCCAGCCAGGGGTGCGTGGAAAGCCAGGAGATATTGAGCATCCCTCTGCTTCCTCCATCCCATATCGCATGCTGGGAAGGGGTCTCCTCTCAGGGACCAGGGCAGAGGGTGGCAACCACCACCCTAGACGAGCAGGGAGAAGCTTTCCTCTGACAGAATCTCAGCCAAGTGCTTTTCTGAAAGTCAAAATTGAATGCAAGGAGGCAAAGGAGCTGAGCAGCCCTTCCTGGTGGGAGAATCCACCTCCTAATGTCTGTTCTTCCAAGTGCTGCAAACCAAGCCTGACTTCTCCTTCCCACCTCCCTGCCCCCAATGCCTCTAATGCCCGCAAGTGCTGTTCGCACACAGGCGGGTGCTGCTGGTCCCCGCAGCTGCGTAGCGGGGGGCAGATGTTACCCCCCTAGACACAGACAGGATTTTGTCAGAGAGAAAAGCCCAAACTCACCCCGAGCGCTGCCTCTGCTCCGCAGCACAGCCTGTCCAGCGGCAGCATCCCAGCTCTGCCCAAGACGCCGCTGTTTATATTTCCCCCTCCCCGCGCTGGCAGGAAGCAGGCAGGAGCCAGGATGGGGTGCAGCTCCGCTTCCCGGCGTGCTGGGATTTGTAGGCAGCCAGGTGGTTGGCGTCGTGCCCGGGCCAGACTGCATTTCCCAGCTGGCGTTGCACAGGCGGATCGTGGTCACCCAGGCCTAGTTAGGGACACAGCCGCGGCCAAGCCGGGGAGGCGGCTCAGCCCTATTCCAGCTTCTGGAGCTCCCTCGGAGCTTGTGCTCGGTGGCCGCGCACTGCCCACAGGCGCTGCCGCGGTATCTATTTCTGCAGCCGGAGTATTTATAGCATGCCTCTAGACCTCTCCTTTCCCAGCCTCTGAATACACAGTGGTTGTAGTTTTGACCAAAAATATAGGGGTACCTGCACCAGAGTGGCTCACAGCGGTTGCAGGGATGCGGGGAGCAGAGGGTTGTGCAGAGTGTGGCAGGGTGCAGAGGAAGCTTACCGTATTTACAATTTTCCTGTAATGTCTTTGGATCCCTTTTCCCTTCTTTTCTGAAAGCTTTCTCTCAGATAGCGCCCTGAGCAGGGGTGATTTTTGGGCTAGGATCTTGCTTTTCTGGGTAGCTGTGTGGCACCCAGCCCTGTGAGGCTCACGGTGCTGGAATATTTCAACACCCCCTTTCTCTGCAAGAGTGTGATTGGCGATGGGGAGGGGGGAGAAGGAGGTAGGGGGACGAGGTGGAAAGGAGAAGGGGAAAGGAGCTGACATGACCTGCTGCCATCCTGCAGCTCTTCCCTTGCCCAGCTAGGCCATGTCCCTGCCCCACGGCTGGAAAAAGGTCCAGTGCAGCAGCCTGCCCAGCCTGGCTCCTGCCAAAGGAGACCAAACCCACCTGCACTAAGGCAGCTGTCTCCCTGTATGGCACCAGGTTATCACCAGTATCACCAAATCTCCTCTGAAAATGTGAGAGGCCTCCAGGGTCCTGTGCACTTGGCTTCACTGAGATCATAGAACCAGAGAATGGTTTGGGTTGCGAGGAATCTTAAAGTTCCAACCCCTACATCATGGGCACTGATGCCACATACTAGATCAGGTTGCATAGGGCCTCATCCAAACTGGCCTTGAACTCTTCTGGGGATGGGTCTCTGGGAAACCTGTTCCAGTGTCTCATTACTCTCCGAGTAAAGAATTTCTTCTTAAGGTCTAAATCTCTCCTCTTTTAATTGTCTTTAGCAAACAGCCTGTTGAAAAGACTGCTGATATACTCAGCTTTTAGCATGCTTTTGCAGACCCCCTTTCCCTGACTGATTTTATTGGACATATTCCCTTTTCTGGCATCCCCATAATGCATTTCTCCTGTGCATCCTCTGGGCCTGCCAGTTTAGAGCAAAAAGTCCCACCCCCGAGGTTTGCTGCAGCATCATTCCTGCACCATCTCCTGGTCCTGGAGGTGATGCTTCTCTGAGCAGCAGGAGTGCAGGGCACTTGTGAGTAGGGTTGTGGTTTGGATGGCTGAGGGGCAGCCCCAGCCCCTGTCCCATGGCTAGGCACTTGGTATGGCAATGCCTTGGTGGTCATGTGAAAATCTGGCAGGACCAGTGAGCCAGGGTTGTGGGGCAGAGCTGGGACAGGTCTGGTTTCTGGGGCATCTCCTCCCACGACTACGTCAGCCATCAGGCACTGGCAGTATTGCTTCCTGCTTCTGACAACACACCAAATTTAAGTGGTGATAAGGCAAGTTTTGGGCAGACTTTGCTGAACTGGCAGCAAGGGAAGAACTTTACAAGCATAAATTTAATGCAACAGGGATGCCCGTGAAATTGCTTCTGGCTGTGTGCCTGGTGCTGCACTCGTTGGCACTTGGGGGATGAAGCCACTCAAGCAGTATTCCCTTACCCTGTTTGTCCTCCCTGATGTGTTGGAGCAGAGCATTCCTGTTCATCCCCACTGCCGCACACATTTCCAAGGCCCTCACGTGGTGCATGCCCTGTGGGCCAGTGAGCTGGGCTCTCCAAGTACAGAGCTCACCAGGAATGGATACAGTACTGCACCCATCCCATTGCAAGTGTCCATTCCCCTGTGCTAAGTGCCTGCAGCCACAGCCACACAGTCCAGCCCAGCAGGGATAACTTGGAGAAGTGAATTTCCTGGTGCACAGAGCTGGGCAAGGATGCCCATCAGCTTCTCGCAGGCAGGAGGGCAGGTTTTGCTTCCTGGTCCAGCAGGGAGTTCCCTACTGGCTTTTCGCCTGCATGAACACTGCTTGGGTCAGCGGTGAGGTGGGGCTGACGGAGCTGCTGAGGCCACCTGGTTCCTGAGCTGGCAAAGCAGACTTTCCTGTTTCGGCTGTGCAGTGCAGTCACCATCCCTTCTGCACCCTCGGCTCCACGCCCAGTGGGGTCCCATCTCGCCCCACGGCATGTCCCTGCCACGTGTGGTGGCTTGACCTGGATCCTGCACAGCAGGGAAGGGAGACTGAAGCTGAGAAAGATACTTGTTGGTAAGTCTGGATTTGGGAACTCAGTCAGCACAGGGTGGGACCAAGAATCAGGATTCTCCCAGCCCCTTTTCCAGGAGCGTGGATGCTCAACGCTCCCTGCAGACTGCCCACTGAAACTATGCTGCCTCTCCTAGACTGCAGCAAGGCTGTAACTATCATTCCCAAAATGGTGGCTCAGATCATTCTGCAGGGCTGGGATGAGGTTTTTTTAAACAGGGCTAATGTTAGACTAATGTCTAACATAATGACTAATGTCTGGCAGGCAAGAAGTATTGAGACAACTAATTCTGAGCTGGGTGGGTGCCTGCTCAGCTGTGCGGTTGTGTCCACCCTTCACCACAGTCTGACACTGCAGGCCAGCACTTCTTAAATACCTGAGCAGAGCTTCAGGTGTCCAATGGCACAGATGTCCCAGGTGGTACTGGACAAGTCACTTAACCTGCACCTCATTGTCCCAGCAACGATGCCACAGGGATGACAGCAATTCCCATGTCTCTCCAGCCCTATGCCCACATGCAGCAAAGCTCACTGCTGGAAAAATACAAGGCTCTTGCTGGCTTTGCAGGCTCAGCAGAGGGAAGTGCAGATGTGATTTCTCCCCAGGAGAACCCCATGCAAGGAGCACCTTGGAATGGGGAGAACGTGGGCAGAGTGCAGGCAGGGTGAGGTGATGTTGACTGCTTGAGCAGGGACCCACGGGGACGCAGGGCAGGAGGCTGGGGCTGCCAAGGCAAACAGGCACATACCTGCCAGCCTTGGTCACGGCACTGGGGCTGGGTGCCACCCTTGCCGTGGTGGCTGCAGATGCTCTCACCAGGCAGCCTGGCTCCTGGCACATCTCTCCTGCTGACGCAAAAGGGATTTTGCTATGAGGAAGCACTAAAGCTAGAATAAGAGCTTTGCCATGGGGAGAGCAGTGCTGTAAAACCACCCTGCTTTAAATTTGAAGCCTTTCCTTATGCTATGTCAACATTGCCATGTGCACAGGTCAGGATCACAGCAAGTTTCCAAACTGCTGTGACCCCAGCATGGTGGTGCCACTGCCACTGGCAGCGAGGGCAGCAGTCCTGCTGCAAGCCCAGGAGCTATAACCATCCTGCCCCTCAGCCCTGTGAGAGAGGGGAAAATAGCCAAAAAGAGGTGTTAGCTAGTGATGGGGCTTTCCTGGAGCTGAGCAAACCCTTCAGCTCATGCTGCCTGGCCAGAAAGGAGCCAGCACAAAACAGCTCTTGGTTTTCTCCCCTACAGACAGGGGATTCCTCTTCTCAAAAAACCGCCAGAAAACTCCCTAATCCATCCCCCTGATCTCTCTCCTTTCAGAAGGCAGACTTGCAGGGATATGAACGAGAAGGCTGTATGCGAAGGGCTGGCTGGCGCAGAGCCCTCCCTGCCCGCGGCTCCCTCCCGCTCCATTTCACAGCTCATTGCCAATGTGGCCAAGCCCTAACCGCTTACCCTGGGCTCTGTATTTTAATTGTGTTTGCTCTCGTTAGAGCCCTGGGCCACGGGCAGCACAGGTGCTACTGGAAAGGAAATCCCCACCCTGTTAATTTTGCCTGTGTCCCCAGGTCACTCCAGCCATGGCAGTGGCAGCCAGGATAGTCAGGACTACGACCTCCCCGCATGCCAACATCACCACCACGGCTTGGCCAGGCTTCTTGGACAGCTGGCTTAGCCGGATCCCATGTGAGTACAGCAGCTCTTGCTCTACTCTCAGGCAGCATTATCTGGTGGGGCTCCTGGACTCTGAGGCTATGAGGCTCTGAGGACTCTGAGGTTCTCTCCCTCCAAATCCCTTTTTCTAGTGGGGTCCTTCAGAGTGGGGATGCTGCAGAGTGGTACCATGCTGCTCCAGGAGTGCAGGGCATCCTTGCTGCCCATTTGGGGAATGGTCTCCAGCTGCAGCCTCCCTGAATGGGGACTGTCCAGGAATATAGGGGCAATTTTGAAAGTACAACTCCTTAATGCTGAAGCACCAGGAAGGGGTTTAAATGCACTCCATATGTATTGCTTGGTTTTAACTGTTCTGTCCCATTCCATTCCTCGAACAACACACCAGTACCCAAATGGGCGCTCATCACCGTGGCTGTGGCAGGGGCCATTCTCCTCCTCCTCTTCCTTATCTGCATCATCAGGTGCTGCTGTGGCAAGAAAAAGCCCAAGAAGAAGGAGAGAATCAGCTTGTGCCCCGTCAGCAACTCAACCACAGCCAGCCTCGTGCGTCCTCCTTTCCCCTCAGTCCCACCTCCCTTCTCCCCGAGAGGTTTGCTGCTGCACTTCCCAGTCCCAGGGATTGTGGGAGCACGGCATGGCAGGGACGTGGCTGAGCACATCCTGAGGGTAGTGTTGCTCTCTGCCACAGGTCCAGCCTGAGATGGAGGACCTGGAGCGAGGAGTGGAGCAGATGTGTCGAGGAAAGCTGCAGTACTCCCTGGAGTACAACTTCCGCACACAGGAGGTGGGGATGCTCGTGGCCGTGGCACAGCAGGGAAACAGCTTTGCTCTTGCATGATCCCTCTTTGCTGCCCACTAAGGTGGGGCCAGGTTTCCACCTGGCTGCAGCCTGCCAGCTCTCATGCCCACGTGGTGTGAAGGCGTCCTCACTGTTGCACTCGCTTCCCACTGAGCCCTCAATTGTCTGACCCTGTCCTCCTCCACCTGGTGACCTTGTGCATCACTCCTTTCAAGCTGAAAGTCGGTGTGAAGCAGGCAGTTGAGCTAAAGGCCATGGACAGTGGAGGCACATCCGATCCATATGTGATCGTCTACCTAACATCTGATATGAAGAAGAGATATGAGACCAAGGTTTACCGCAAGACCCTGAACCCCATCTTCAATGAGAGCTTTACTTTCCAGGTAGAAAACTACATCCAATGATGGCTTTTTGGTCCCATCAAGAGTGTTGTTGCATAGGCACTGCTCCCTGGGCAAAAACCTCTCCAGGCAGGGAGATGCTTGTGCAAGCAGGATGGGGAAGAGTCAGAGAGAAATATCTGTTATTGCATTGTTACTGCCACATCCCATGGGGAAGGGCTGCCACTGAGGAGTAAATCCTGGCTTTTGGGTCCTCTCCTGTAGGTACCCCAGGCAGAGGTGCCTGAATGCACACTGGTGATGCAGATTTATGACTTCAACCGCTTTGCCAAGCATGACATCATTGGTGAGGTCCGGCTGCCCCTGGCCAGTGTCAACCTGCAGCATGTCATCGAGCAGTGGAGTGAACTGGCGGCGGCCAGTAAAGTGGAGGTCAGTCTTGTTGGGTGGGAAACTCTGCCAGGAGGGATGCACTGTTGCTTCACTTGCCACCACCCCAAGAAGCAGGCCCTTAGGGGCAAGCACAAGAGTGGGGGAGACTCGGGAAACCTGGGGCCTGGTGTCATAACCCCAGGCAAGCTGGTACTAATTGCTGGCATCTCTCCATCAGGAAGAGCAGCTGGGTGAGATCTGCTTCTCACTGCGCTATGTCCCCAACACTGGCAAGCTGACGGTGCTCATCCTGGAAGCCAGGAAGCTGAAGCGA